ACTATTTCTGACTTGATGGCATACAGCATTACACTAGTGGTGAGGATTTTTTTGTTTTCTTGATACTAAGTTATAATCTATATTGAAGCCTGTGGTCTTTGATAAACTGTAGTGAGTGTTTTAAGTCCTCTTTATACAAGCAAGTTTGTTTTATTTGCATAATGCAGATTGTTTATAAGTCTTCCTCCAATTCTGATGCCACAGTCTTTTTTTTTTAACCCCCCCTCCAAAGCTTTTATTTATGCTTTTAAGGGGAAGAAGAGAAACAGTGATAGCTAGATGAGTTTAAAAAAAAGAGATAATTTTAAGTATCTTTCAATTGAACAGTGATATACATGGAAAACATTTCTCAAGTGTTCTGCTTTATAATTTTCCCAACTGAATGTACCCAAGTGACTAGCATCCATTTCAAGAAAAAGAACATTAGTAGTTTTCTGTAAGTCTCTTTCCTGTTGATTATCTTCACAGTTTCCTACCCAGAGGTAATCACTGACATATCATGATCTCATGAGACTGTCCACTATTGCTAGGCAATTGGGTATTTTCCAGTTTCACAAAGTGTCATGCTGAACATTCTAGTACTTGACTTTTAGTGAATTTATGCATACATTTTATTTGGTATACTGATGGTCTTGCTGGTGCATTCACCAGCAATGTGACTTTCAGTGAACATAATTTTAGTTTTTTTAGAGGGTGTCGTATTTTCTTGCTGTTCTTTTTCAATTTGCTGGAGCTGTTGGGTTAGAGAGTCAGTGGTCAGTTTTTCCTGCCTTTTGATGTGTTTCTTTATTACTATAAATTGCCCTCTGATTACTGCTTTGGCTGTTTCACAGAGGTTTTGGTAAGTGGTGTTTTCATTGTCATTTGTTTCAAGAAACTTTTTAATTTCATTTTTTATTTCTTCTAGTACCCAGTCATGTTCAAGCAAGGTGTTGTTCAGCTTCCAAATGTATTTTTTTTTCCTCCTTTATCTTCTTATTACTATTTTCTAATTTTTTAGCATTATGGTCTGAAGAGATGCTTTGTATTATTTCTATGTTTTTTAATTTACTGATGCTTGCCTTGTGACCTAGAATGTGATCTATCCTGGAGAACGGGCCATGCACACTGTTGAAGAAGGTATACTCTGCTTTTTTGGGGTGCATTAGCCTATAAATATCTTTGAGGTCAAGTTGGTTTATTATGTGGTTTAATTCTTCAGTATCTTTGTTGAGTTTTCTTTCTGGTAGTTCTGGGTGTTTTGAAGTGTTCGAGTACTAAAGTAGTGTTGTCTGTTTCCCTTTTCAGTTTTGTTGTTATTGTTTTATGTATTTTACAGGTCTTTCATTTGATGCATAGACTTTCAGTGAACATATATACGTATTTTATTGGGTGTCTTTCAGTAACCAGAATTTCTGGGGCTTTCACCACACTGTAAAAGAGATTAATTTGTTGTTGTTGTTGTTGTTGTTGTTGTTGTGTGCAGTCGAGTCTCTTGCGATTCATAGCGACCCTATGTACAACAGCCCTAAACTCTGCTCTGTTCTGTGCCAATCGCACTGTCTCTGACACTCCCATCCCGATTAACCCAGTCACTGAATCAATCCACCTCATAGAGGGCCTTCCCTTCCTGCGCTGTCCCTCCACCCTCCCAAGCATGATGTTCTTCTCCAAGGACCGGTCTCTCCTCACAACATGTCCAAAGTATGTCAGACGGAGCCTCAGAATCCTTGCTTCCAAGGAGCTACCCGGTTTAACCCTTTGCAGGACAAATCTGTTTGTTTTCGTAGCAGTCCATGGTACCCTTAGTACTCTTCTCCAGCACCACAGCTCAAAGGCATCAATTCTCCTTCTATCCTCCTTGGTCATTGTCCAACTCTGATGCATAACAAGTGATCGCAAAGACCATGGCCTGTATCAGACGCACCTTAGTCTCCAGAGAGACACCATTGCTCTTCAGTACTTCAGAGAGGTCCCTAACAGCAGACTTTCCCATGGCAATGTGCCTTTTAATTTCCTGGCTGCTGGTGCCAAGAGTGTTGACTGAGGAGCCAAGCAAACTAAAGCTGTGAACAACATAGGTAGTAATAATAATAAAAATGGAAAATGACTGCCATTGAGTTGATTCCGAATTGCAGTGACTCTCTGAAAGAGTAGAACTGCCTACAGGGCTTCTGAGGTTGTAAATCTTTATGGAAGCAGACTGTTTCATCTTTCCCCTTAGAGCAGCTGGTGTATTCAAACTGCTGACCCTTTGCTTAGCAGCCAGAGTCTTTAGGCACTACATTGGCAGTAATAGAAGGGGTATTATATTCCACCTGCGAGTTTATCCACTCACCTCTTGGAGGTTTGTGTGCAGGTTATATATAAATATAGATTTTTACTTTTTTTATAGTTTTATTTTAATGAACATTTACAAAGATTTTGGATTTCCATTCATTCATTCATTGTTGCCACAGTCTTCTTGATGTAGGCTAATTTCTTGAATTATTTGCTCAGGATACAGATTGAATAGGTGTGGAGAAAGGATGCCATGACACACATCTTTTTTTATTTTAAACCATTTGGTATTCCCTGTTCTATTCAGACAGCTGCTTCTTGGTCTGTGTAAAAGTTTCACATGAGCACAACTGAATGTCATGATCCGCATAGTCAAATGGCTTTGCATAGTAATAAAACACAAACATTTTACTGGTGTTCTTTTCTTTCAGCCAAGATCTATCTGATGTCAACAATGAAATCTCCATACACCCTCTTCTGAATCCAGCTTAATTATGGTGGTAGTTCCTTGTCTTATGTACTGTTCCAAACATTTTTCAGCAACCCTCAGCAAGACTTTACTTGCATATAATATTGTTTGATAATTTCCACAAAATGTTGGGTCACCTTTTTTTAGAATGGGAACAAATGCAGCAAATACAGATCTCTTCTAGTCAGGTGAGCAGATAGTTAACCTACCAAGTTTCTTAGCATAGACTAGTGAGCATGCCTAGGACTGCATCTGTTGATTAGTCACATGATCTTTTAAACCAAGAATGACAAATTGAAGAGGAATAATGTTGCATTCATAGTAAAAAAAGAACATTTCATGTCAGGAAAAGGAAGTCTTACTCATATACAGTGCCACCCAAAGGTAATAAAGGAGGTCAGAATTGCTTCCACTGTGGAAAGCTGGGCCACGTCAGTAGACAGTGTCACAGACGAGAACCACAGATAGGCAAGGGAGTAGAGAGGAAGCTCCCACTCACTTGCTTTAAGTTTGGATCTGAAGGACACTTGGCCAAGGGTGGCCCACATCAGGTCCTTGTGGCTGACAGGACTGACAGGCCCCAGCTCCCAGCTGGAAACAAAGGAGGACGCTTCAACGATTTAGGTCCTCCCAGAAGAGCTGTGGGTGAGCATTAACATTACTGGTAAGTATCTTCGTTTTCTCCTGGAAGAGCCTACTATTTGGTCCTAAAAGCCTTCTGAGGTTCCAATTCTTCTCACTATTTCTTAGTTGTTGGAATTGACGGAAAACCTCATAAGCAGTTCCTTACTTCACCTCTGCCTTGCATGCGGATTTCCGAGTTGTAAAACAACCCAGTGGTGGATGGAATTTGGTCCAGGACTTAAGAACAATAAATGACATAGTTGAGCCTCTACATCTTGTGGTTCCTAACCTTTGTACTATAATAGACAAAGTGCTAGTCAATAGGCCTTTTATTGTGAGAACTACCTTCCCTTTGTAACTTGATTTGTGCCACTATTAGAACCTCTACTCAGAATATTATTG